TATATATATATATATATATATATTGAGAAATGCAAGGAATGATAGAATTTTGTGTCTAAACAAAAATAAAAGCAGCGTTGCCCCAAGTGGATGGAACCACGATGATTTTCTTAAACATTTCTGTAGTTTGGCTGCATCCAAATTTGGTGTTATCTTCAATAAAATAACGAAAAAAATGGTTCAAAGATAAAAAGGAAAGAAATGAGCGATTCAGAATCTATGAGGTTTTGTGTTTTCTCAGCACTTTTTTCTTTGTCTCAGAACTAAGCAGCATTTCTCCTAATATCATTTCTGCAACTTTTGTGGAAAAAAACTAGCAAGTTTCCATCATATATTGTGGCTGGCAGTGGCAACATCGCGAACATAATGCCCGATTCTTTGTGGATGTCAAAATCATCTAGCTCTTTTAATTTAACCAAGAATAACGCCCTTTAAAAGTAGCTCGAAAATCAACCAAACCTCTTTGCTCGATTACTGAACAAGGTGATGTGTTCCTTTATGTGTGTTTCCTTACTGACATTTTTACTTACCTCTCGATTTCCACCCTAACAAAGCACAGGCTAAATTATTTACATCTTCGATTTAGAAATTCTGACTTGTATAAGAAATAGAAAAATGGCTAAATAAATACCTCACCTTGTCTAATATAATTACCCGACATCATCTCTAGCCATAAAAGAATTTTCAATAATTGATTCCATCATTGAATATTCAAACTATAAGAAAGGTCATTTATCCTTGGGGGCTAGAACAAACATATATTAATATGAAACTAACATAAGATCTTAGAAACACGCTATGCAGAAAAATCAAGTTCATCAGCTCAAATCACAAAACTAAACATAGTGAAAAACAGGTGCATATTTAGGTAAATGGATCTCAATACACAAATGTGAGTGCAATACAGACCTTGGTATCAAGCATGACAGCACAAAGGATTTGAGTGTTCTGCATAGCAATCCTGAGGTTGTCCAGAGTCTCCTGGTGGTACTCATGGGTCCCATGCGAAAAGTTGAACCTGGCAACGTTCATTCCGGCTCTAAGGAGCTTCTCCGCCATTGGCACTGACCGAGACGCTGGCCCCAAAGTGCACACAATCTTTGTCTTGGGGACACGGCCATCATTTGGAATCCCCTTCAAAATTCCCTCAATGTCTATGTTTGCCATTTTCACTTCCCAGTCTTTCTAAAGGCACACAGAATTCAATCCAGTACACTACCTATCAGTGAAAGAGCAAAAACTCATATTAGCAATATAAAGATCAAAACAACTTACTATCGATACTATCAACGTAACAAAAGCAAACTGGAAAAGGAAATACAGATTCGAACAAGTGATAACGAAATCATACATGAATCCTACTAAAGTCATTATATTCATTGATGTTTTCTTTTCATTTTGGGGGCAATTTGTCAAGTATAAGATTTAAATAAAAGTTTAAATTCTTTTGCAGAATCAAAATTATCATGCCCAACTTGCCTTAGCAACAAATTCCACCCCGGACCCAAAAAGAAATGTAGAAGAACAGTACATAAATAAAATTTGAAGAAAGATCTGAGATTTTCACAAGTAACAATTTTCTACATTTACTTCATGTTATCAACAAAAATATAAAAATTAAAACGTGGGTGGTTCATAAGAAGGCAGTTTTCGTAAACAAAACGAATTATACAAAGACTTGACAGAAAATACAGGAATTTCAACAAAACGAAAAAACATATAAAAATAAGGCAACAGAACTTTCAGATCTACAACCACCAAAAAAACTATTTCAAACAGAAACAAAATCGAAATTACCAATATAAGAGAGAAAATAGCATTTTAGAATGAACTTAGCAAAATAGGTAAAAATAATAATTACAATCACCACAGAACAGTTTGAAGTTGAAGTAGAGGAGCAGCCCACAGGTTTTGTTCTCTCTATGTGTGAGCTGAAGATTCAAGGTTGCACGCCGTAGATATCAAAGAATTACAGTGAGCGGTTTTAAGGGTATACTGTTTTGGGGATCTTTGAACAAATTACAGAATATGCTTACACCATGTTTGGTGGCGAATCTTTACCTTGTAAGTTAATTCTTCTTCCATTATAAGTTGAAGTTAATATCTAAAAATTATTTTCGAAATAAGTAATTTACTTTATTTAAAGAAAAGATGACATATTATAGTAGTAATACAAACATGTTTATAAATAAAGGGTAGTCATTGAACTTTTAGTAAAATTTTAATTGAGATCTAAACTTTAATTTATCTCAATTAGGTAATAAATTTAAATTTCATATTGAATTTCAATACTCTATCACATTCTAGCACCTGTCATCGTCTATACTGGCGAATATTATATAGTTATTAGTCATATGATAATTAATTTTCTCTCAATAATCACTTCGTAGGATTCTAGATTAAAAAGTTAAATGCGCGTTGTTATTTTAACACTTTTATAACGTGACGTTATGGTAGAATTGACATATTACTAAGGACATGTTTGTAAGAGCTTTTCTAATCTCAAAAATTGCTTTTTTTTTGATCGTTTTGTGGCAGCACATGGGGTTCATTGTGAGATGAAAAGTCAAAAAAATCAGTTGGCTCCTCTTGCAACGGTCCAAAAAGCAATTGAAATTGACTACAAAATTGGAAACAGACAAGCTCTTAGTATTTGCATGAAAAAATCGGTTGGTAAATTGGCCATAGCGATAGACTGTTAATCAAGTAAATTTTATCAATTGAGAATAGTCACGTGATGAAGTGGTACAATTTGAAACTAAAATTAAAGTTTTGTATCCAAATTAAAATTTTACTGAAATCCGAGAAATTTAATGCGAAGACTTAAGACTTAAGTATACTTAAAAGTCATTTTTATTTACTTTTTAAGTGGTTGCCAACGATGAAAACTTAAAAGAAAGCGTCGTGGGCCTAAGTGATGACAAATGAGGTGATTGAGTGTCCAAATGCCGCATCCCACGTGAAAAAGACGCAAGATTATTGTCCAAAAACAAGACAACGTCAACGTGGCAGTGTTAAATATCTCTATTTTCATTCAACTTTTTTAGATATTTCATTGTTATTACTTATTGAATAAGTTTTTCAAAATAATTTTTTTTGTCGACGTCTTTTTTTTGCACTGTTAATTTAGACAAGGATATTGAACTACTCGCGTTCTCTCGAGCTAATTCCAACACGCGTGGAACGATTGTCAATAGACAATAAAACAAGGTTTAGACGTGGAGGAAGCTTTATAACACGAAACAGAAATGTTCGGGCTCCGACAAAATATATGAGATAACGTACGCGATAATAAACGATCAATTAAGAACCAAACTTACAATCAAGTCGCACCTCATATACTAGAAACCCAAGATTAATCAAAAAGAAAGAAAATATATGGATTATAGTCAATAATTTTGTATTACCCCTAAATGGCACAAATGGAGATATTTATATTGTTACATGTGCAATAGTGACCATTGGATGAGAGAACACGTGGTTTCATTTCCTTTATCCAAACATCACATCTTAGGTATTAATTTTGACTCCACTAGTCTGTAGCACATTAAATATACAAAAAAGGAGACAGTCGCCCCATACCCTATGCTGACGATTGACTTTTTTATTCATTACAACAGTTCATCAATCATTTTAAAAGGATTTCATAAACTTAAAATCTTCAAACGTGGATCGACACAAGCCTTAGTTAAGCCTCTTATTCTTCTTTGTTGTACATTGCCACTTCGGCGGACAAATTTCGTTTAGGCCTTAGATTTGTCTTTTAACATATGGGCTTCGACGGTTGAATTGTCTGGAAGAAGGTGCTTCGGTGGGTTGGCAGCGCCACGTGGTGACCCTACTCCATGTCAAATGCCACGTGACTCTGACAGAACGTGCTCCAATGAGTCGGCTGAGCCACGTAAAAGGTTGAGTGACGAGACATAACATCTCTTGTTATTGATTATATTAAAATGTCATATACGAAGTTACGAATGTAGTGACATAATAGGTGGAATGATATAACCCTTGTTTGACACCCTTTAATTTATTTCGATTTTTGCTACACGATCATTTTCAATTAGATATTCACACAATAAAATATTATACGTGTAATTCCAAAAATTTTCCATACTTTTTAACCACGGATTCTCCTAAAATACTACTCAAAACTCATATTTTTTGGGGGGTTTAATGAGAATCAAACAAGGGTATAATATTATCTCATTCACCACTTCGTCATTCACCATTTTAAAAGTTAACTTACTAGATGAAACGGTAAATATAATAATGTTTTAGCAAGTTCATCATGTTAATTGGCTTTTAAAAACGAGAGACGAGTGACAGAGTGACGAATATAATTACATTTTAGTAAGTTCAATAACAATTCAAAGAATTTTAAAGTTTAGCTGCAACTGGTAAACATTTGAAAAAGTTTAGTGGCAACTCGAAGAACATTTAAAGTTCAATGACAATTAGTAAAGCTAGCATTTGATGCATGTTCCAACACTGGATGGATGTAGAAGTAACATCAATAAATTGTGCGTTTAATGTATTGAGTGCTTATTTGAAGAGAACAAAGAATAACCAACGAGAAGAAAAAAAAACTTGTGAATTTTGTTATAGATAGTAGTATTAAAATAAGACGGGTTTTTTAGTTCACTTCTTTCTTTAATAGTCATTACGTACATTTAAAAGTTTTTAAATTTAGCAAACGCGCAGTCCCTGTTTTGTAGAGATTAAAATAAGATTTTTAGTAGATTTTGATAAAAGTTGATGAAATGTGCAGTTGAAAAGTTGTGAGTATCATAAAATATGTGATTAAAATTAATTTTTAACTTTGATATGAAATTTTAATTGAATTTTAATCCGAATCAAACAGCAGCCTAACTATGAACTTAGCAAAAATCACATGCACGTACAAACTCGACCCAGCTTGATGAATTGAAGATACTCTGTTTTGATCCACATCTAGACTAGAGCAAGGCTATCTAGAAAGTAATAGGCGTGACAAAATTGCTGCTCAATTATTTTATGATGATCCCACTTTTTTTTTTTTTTTATTGTTATCATTTTTTTTTTTTTCAAATTTCTACATCTTCTAATTGATTTTTAAAAGATGATGATTGTTGACTAGTGACACGTGAATTTTGTATTCGACCATAATTATTCAAAATTTCAATTTGAGCATTTGTCTTTTTGTAATTATTTAGTCATAAATAATGTTGTGCAATTGGTCCCTTCAAATTTTCGTACCAGTCAAATTGTAGTTTGCCCGACAAGATTAATGCTGCCTTGTATAGGGCATGTTTGAGCCGAATTAAAATCTGATTTTAATTTAAATCAAAGTCAAACGATTAATAGTAATCACATCTTTCATGGGTCCCACATCTTTTCAACCACACATTTCAAAAATTTCTATCACAATCTACTAAAAATATAATTTTAATTTCCACCAAACACCCTCTTAATTATGAAAGAATGTAGTATATTAAGAGACAGATGTCCAAAAAATTCTGTTAGCACCAATGTGGAGGAAATTTACGGTCACATACTTTACTTCATCTTTAATCTCTTCATTCTATTTCTATTTTCTTCTTTTTGATTGGCTAAGTTGAATTTTCGACTAATCTCCATTAATGTTTTTTTTTTAATAAACTCTATAGATGACAAGCTTTATTAATCACAAAATTTAAAAATAATACAAAAAAAAGGTAAATAAAAACATATCTCATTTAGAGGGAGAGTGCACAATAATGGGTTAAACTATAAATTTTGCTACTTGTATATAAAAAATGTATATAATGGATTACATAATATGATAGGGAGAGAAAATATTGGATGAAAAATTTGATTGTGTTTTAAATTGACAAATGGTAAAACGCCATGTGTCATTATGTAATCCATTATGTAAATCTTGATGTACATGTAACAAGATTCTTAAACTATTATACTTCATGTGTCATAACTTTAATCTTCGTCATTATATATCAAGTGAAGTGTCTTTCTTGCTCACAGTCACTTTGAAATTCTCTATTTGAAAGAGATCGTGTAAATATATGATCATACCCCGCATTCCGAAAGTTCATAATTTCATCAGTCTTCATTAATGTATCCCAGAGCATTCCAACATATTCACTTATTCTCCAGTAAAAAGGTACAAGACTTATTTCCAAATCAATCTACCTCACAAAATCATAAAACCACCGCTCACATGCTACTCAGATGCACCTTACGCGTCTTTCGATAGAGCATTCACAAGTCGCAAGCTTCCAAACTCCTTCATTGTCGTAAAAATGCGAAGATTTGAACTACATTTTATGAAGTTACAAGTTTTTAGTTACATATCATTAACTTTTATCAAAATATACTAAAAATCAAATTTATATTCAAATCAAACCTGGGCGTATCAGCTGTTATTAATTACGCGTGGAAACCTCAATGCACAATGCAAAACTCCAAAACCACCTGCCAAATTCATGGCATCCATTGCACGTTTTCATGAGCCGAGTACTTGCCATGCGACCCCTAGATTCCATATATAGATTCCCCTCTACTAAACAATGTTAACATCTCAGATTCTCATAATGGCGCTTTGCGGTCACTTTTTCAGTCCTTTGCGCCGAAGTTGGCAGCGTCCAACTACTACTCCTCCATCACCACGGTGGAGATGAACGATGCTAATCTAGGTTTATCGCAGCTGTCAACAACAAATTCAAAGTCAGCAGCAGTTGAATTCCTGCCAGGAATACCTCCGGCAAAGCAGCTAATTCATAGAAGGCCAAGGTGGTTGGCGTGGAGAATTTCCTCGATGCTGCGACCTGCTGGAGCAGATGGATGAGCAGTGCAGGTGCGAGGGTATAAAGCAGGTGTGCAGCAACCAACGCAAAAAGGAGAATTTCAGGGTAGAGAGGTGAAAGAGATGCTGGAAACTGGACAGAGTTTGCCTAGTTAATGCTGTTTCAGTTCGCACCAGCGCTGTGAAATTCAAACTCTCTCATATTAAGGGGTGGCAAAATTGTGTGTTTTTACGGTGATAACCTGGCCTACTACCAGAGATTATGAATAAGCACATCATCTGTTTATCAGGTGGTGGTGGCGTCTGTTTAATAAATTATGTTCAACTTTTGGTCTTTAATTTATCTCTCTGTCTACTTGCAGTTTTGCTTATTGTCCTGCAATTTAATACCAGATTGGAGTATTACAAGTTTTCAAATGCATATTGATACCAGTGTTCATATAACATAAATGAAATAAAAACACCCGTGGACATTACAAGAGTTTAAACCAAAGTTTTCGAAATTTGAGCATATCCACTAACGAGAGGCAATATTTGAAAACGAGTTATCATTCAAATCCCAAGTCATTTCTCATTAACATCAATATATCAAAGATCATAATATAGTTGAAACCATCAAGTAGGAGCACGGTGCTAAGAGTTGTTGGCTCGAGCAGCAGCTCTCTCTAATGCCTTCAATTTATTTGCTTCCATGCGAGCTTTCTGGTCCTCTGAGATCTGAATTTGATTGCGACTGCTACTACCTCTATTATCCTCTACTGTTTCATTTGTGCTCTCTTTGCCTCCGGATGTATCTGCCTTAACACTCCCGCCTTGAAATACTTCCTGCCAGGTGATTAACAGATCCATACACAATAAAAAATTCTCTCCCATATTTAAGCTGAAAGCATCCAAATGTGAAATAAATTTGTTTCTTAAATTCAAGTGACTATAGCGAAGAGATTGAAGGAAACATTTTGAACTCACTTCAATGGCTTTGTCCAAGATATCATGAGGAATATCTTCCTGAAAATTATCAGTGTCATGGTTTGGCAAAGTATCTTCCTCAACAAAAAATGGCTCTTCTGGAGGACCCTGAGCATCTGTAAAAGCAGGAATTTTCGGTGAGAAACTGCAAGAATCAGCACAACAATATGAAAGTTATTTCAATCCCAAATTAATCATATTCCTAAGAAAGTGATTGCATCCTTCAAATTTCTTGTGGCAACTGGTACAAAACTGAAGTACGAAAATCCCTTTAAAGGCATGGTTAAACACTTGGCTGTCAGTAGCACATCTACTAAACAAGCTAACAACATTTTAACAACGTTGTATCACAGCCAAGGGGTGAATTAAGCAATACTCTTAACATTTTGTACTTAAAAAGTGGAATAATATTCCTATATCACGCCTCTGTCAACAACCAGATTTCTTATGAATTAACGTAGGAATAAATATTTCAAACCACAGCATTTGAATATTGTTTAGCTCGATAAACCCACAGCATGGTCACTATGTGTCTCTTCTTCATCTAATTTTATAGCTGCTTCTGGAGACAATTGAGTTTATACTTTCGCCCAGCTTTTGTTGCATCATCTAACGTGGCTTATGAAACTTCAGCGTTCTGTTTTAGGTAGTACTATTCTTCTTTCTCAGGTTAGAGACTGTTGGTGCTTAAAGACTGTTGTACAAATAACATCAATTACCCTTTTTTGCAGTTTATACTTGGTATTACACATTGAATTTCAAAGACCATGAACAGGAAACAGAAAGAATGCTAAGAAAAATGGGACGGGATGATTAGCAGGTAAATGCTTGTTGAAGGGAAGGATAAAATATACGCAGGCTATCTACTCTGATAAAGGAAATCATATGAAATTTCATTTTTTTTTCTCTAAAATACATTGTATTTGAGCAATTAACAACTAAATATAGTAGAGGATTTTGTATTTGAGCAATTAACAACTAAATATAGTAGAGGCTAATACAAGTCTGTTGTTATTACGGCAGCTAATTGGTGTTGTGTACCTTGATCGTGACTTGGGTTTTCTTGTTGAACTTGAGGCTCATGCAGCTTTGCTGGATCTTCTCCATGGGAAACTCTGTCTCGTAATTCTCTTATGCAGCGCTAATTGAAGAAATTGTCAAATCCAAACAAATAAAATGGCAAATTATTTTCAAGACATCAAAGGTCACAATGATTTCATATTTGTATTTTTCAATGTAGATGAATAACAGTTTCTTATTTTATGAGTCTCCAACAGGTTTAACCATATAATTATTTATAGCAAAATTGAGAGACACAACCTTTGGTTCTTAACTTTTACCCAATGAATCATATCACAACCTTCCCAGCTCTCAGAACCATACAGGAAAAGCAGTTCTCGATCTCATATGATTCAATAGTTTTACAACGATCTCACAGAAGGGGCATTTCTACACAGATCTCGATCCTTTACATATGCTTCATGAAGAGCACAATAATTCAGGCCCCCAAGAATATAAAATTAGCTAAAGATGAAAAAAAAATAAAAAAACTCCAACTATCAAAAAGACAAAAATGTATTGTTAATCTTATGTCTAGTATCCTCGATCTCTGATGCATGCACACAACATAAAACCTTAACATGAAAAACAATTATAAAACAGCATTTGTAATTCTCCTAGTTCAAATTCTTTGCTCATATCAATAATAGCTTTAACTATGACCATGCAAAAAGGAAAAGGAAAAGGGGTAGCATGTGTGCATCTGACAAATAATAATCACTTATACATGCATAATAAATTTCAATAAAAGTAAAAAATGTCTTACCCTGACACGGTTTGTCGTTCCAACTTGTTCCACCTTATGCACAAATTGATCAAAGGAATAGTAGGGGAGCAAACGTGAATGCCATTCAGCATATAGGCCAAGAAGGTGCCGCAGATCATTAACCTGCAGAAATGTTGTTAATATGCTTGAAAGGCGAAAGACTCATCAGTGAGCCAAATGAAAGGGAAAGATCAAGACCAAGACCAATAACCATATCCTGAATATCTCTTCCCTGTTGTGGCTCGGATATTATGTACAGAAAATCAATAAACAAACAAGGTTTTCATGAAGGCAATAACACCATCAAGGGCGAACTTTCAGTAACAGACAATTTTAAGGAAAACTGCATGATATTTGACTTTATGTTTAAGAATGCCTTTGATTCATCAATTCTAGGGCATGAAGTTGTAGCAAGAAATTTCTAAGAAAATGAAACCAAAAAGTTTGAAGAACATGTATGTTTACTTTGCCAGTGTAGATGGCGTGAGTCAAAAAGCATTGGTCGCCAACTCAGGAGTTACTGATGACACAGTTAAAATTGTTAACAAGGCCATTTGGGAAACAAGGAGAGAACTGAAGTTGTTTAAAATTATTGCAAAAAGCAAAAACGATTGTAGATCGGATCTATAACTGTGGACGTGCAATAATCAGATCGAAAAAAGACGATGTCCTAAAATCTTTGTAACTGATACTCAACCACCTCGTTATTTGAATTCTAGAAAAATATCGACAAGCATCTAACAGAATATCCTGAATATCTCTTCCCTGTTGTGGCTCGGATATTATGTACAGAAAATCAACAAACAAACAAGGTTTTCATGAAGGCAATAACACCATCAAGGGCGAACTTTCAGTAACAGACAATTTTAAGGAAAACTGCATGATATTTGACTGTATGTTTAAGAATGCCTTTGATTCATCAATTCTAGGGCATGAAGTTGTAGCAAGAAATTTCTGAGAAAACGAAACCAAAAAGTTTGAAGAACATGTATGTTTACTTTGCCAGTGTAGATGGCGTGAGTCAAAAAGCATTGGTCGCCAACTCAGGAGTTACTGATGACACAGGTAAAATTGTTAACAAGGCCATTTGGGAAACAAGGAGAGAACTGAAGTTGTTTAAAATTATTGCAAAATGCAAAAACGATTGTAGATCGGATCTATAACTGTGGACGTGCAATAATCAGATCGAAAAAAGACGATGTCCTAAAATCTTTGTAACTGATACTCAACCACCTCGTTATTTGAATTCTAGTAAAATATCGACAAGCATCTAACAGAAGGGTTTTCCCAAAATAGTACTTGAATTTGCAGCATACTTCATCCTAGTTTTCAAGTATCACGTGATGGCCTTAAGTTTAAATATCTTTCAACTATGAGTGCTGGGGAATTCCACTTGTCAAGGGAAAAAACCTGCACCAACTGACAATCTTATATAGCTATATGCACTTGTCATCTACAACTATAAGTCATAATTTTCCACAGTTTATATAAATTTATGAAGTGGCCATTCAAATTCGTGTAACCATTAAAAGTTTTCCAATTTTTAACTTTGTGAAACACTAGGACAATATCAAGCTTATTGCTTTGGCACGATTTGAATTCTCAATAATTTCAGTTCTCACAATTGCATGCTCTTGGGAGTTTTGATTGGTAACAATTAAGCTTTAAATGAGTATGATAAAGTCCAAAGGCAAGAAGCGAATTTTATGAGTCTGTACTACTATAATCTCTTGAACATCATCAATTGCTGAAATTTAGTTGTCCAACAAAAATCAGCAGCCAATTTATCCATAAATAACCATTCCTAAAGTAGTACCAATTCCTTCATAACATCTGCCTCAATATCCCCCAAGAGATAAGATCCTTAAGAATTTTAACTTAAAGCGTTCACTTTATCTGACAATTAGTCTACCTCATAAACAATACATTTCCATCAACACAACATACAAAAACCTAAATTTTGGATTAAATTTGACTTCAATGACTCCAATTTCTACTGGGAAAGGCAACCAAATTAAGCAACGAAGGAAGCGTGAAGTAGTAAATATAAAAAGAATAGTTATTAGGGATATATTGACCTCGTGACCACGGCCGCGGCATTTGAATGCGCGAGGAAAGTGGCGAAGAACGTAGCCGAGCCCATCATTGGAGAGGAGGAGATCTGGGGTTAGCTTCGGCCTCTTTCTGGGTACTTTCTTGGGCTTCTCAGCAGTGGATTTTGAATTATTCGATGTGGGTCTAGGGTTAGCATTGTCGTGGGTAGTAGCAGGATTGGAATTGGAAGATGGTGGGATATTGGAATTGGGATTTGAAGGGCAATCACGGGACCAATGGCCTGGACGGCCGCACTTATAGCATCCGGTTGGGGCTGCAGATGCGGCGGCGCCACCACTCTTCTCCATTTCTAGGATTTTTCCACAAATTTTCACAATTGAATTGAGATGCCGTCATCTATATTGATGGAGGGAGAGTTGGCCAAGTTTTGGCGGGAGCATAAATGTATGGGGAAATGAGTTTTGGGTTAGGGCCTCGGACAGAGCCCAACTGTGGAAGGCCCACGGACATTTAATAGCTTCTTTTTGCTAAAATCTAGGAAAATTTTCATAAGTAAAGGATTAAGTATCATCAATTTCAAAATTAAGAATATAAGCTTTAAATTTCAAAAATCAAGTTTTATTAAAATTTATTTATGATTTAATTAATTAATTAAATATATCAAGGTCACAGATTTATACAATTTGGTCACAAATTAACCATTTAATTAGTCATATATTATTTTTTTTTATCACAAATCAAAATTTTTATATGTGTCAAATTATTTTACTTTCACAATGCAAAAAATTTATAGGTCACAATTTGTTTATTGATCACAAATTAAAAATTTAAAAGTCACAATTTATTTATCGATGACAAATCACAAATATTATAAGTCATAACTTATTATACAATCACAAATTATCAAATTACGGTCACAAATTAACATTTTTTAGGTCACAATTAATCTTTTTTTATTGGTCACATATTATTTATTTGGTCATAGGTTAACAAATTTAATGGTCACAATCAACCAAATAATCTGTGACCACTTCCAACGCTTGCGACAATCACCTCGTCACTGCCTCCAACAGTACCACCGTCGCCGTCCAATAGCAACATCACCACCTCAAACAAACCAACACCACAACCTCCCAGCACCACTGTCACCACCTCCAACAAACTACCACTTTCAACTTCAAAACCACCACCGCTAACAACAAGATTCACTGCCACAGATACCAACAAAACCACAGCCACCACCAGATCCAACATAATCGTTGATACCCGAACACCACCACAACCCCCATCCACCAACTGAAAACAAAACCTAAAAGTTCCACACCAGATCGCGGCGGTATAAATCCCGACCATGACTCGCAACCAATCCCGACCATAGCACAGAAATAACCACCACCGTCCCACACCAAATCGCAGAGATGCAGTGGCACTCTACTTAGAGCTGCCCCCATCCGTGGCCAAAAGTACCGTGCTACTGTTGCGAGAAACCGACAGCTGTGCCTCTAATGCCTCGCCTCAACGCCGGAGTGTCATCTCGTCGGAGTGGAAGAAAGAGAGAGAGAGAGAGAGAGAGAGAGAGAGAGAGAGACGATAATGTGAGGGTAGAAAGAGAGAGAGAGAGAGAGTAAAGAAAATGAATTCGATAAATAATTAGGGTTTTGGTTGGGTCGTTATATGCATATTAATTTGATTTTGTAATATAATTATTTATATTAAAATTTTTAATTATAACCTGATTTTTGAATAAACAAGCTTTGGACATTATTTTTGAAATCGGATCTTAAAATATATGAATGGGTGTAATTTCTTCTAAAGTCTCTATAAAATAATAATTTTAAAATATAAAAATTAATATTTTAGAGAGGTTATAGTGAAACATCGATCAATGATTGTTCAATAAATTAATACTTATAAAAAATTTCAATCTTGATTCAAGCCAGTATACTAAATTAATTATCTCACTAAACATATAATAGAATAATTTTATTTAAAATCTTTTAAAACCCAACGCAAAATATAAAATAACAATTGGTTAAATACATAAGATTTCATACTACGAATTAAGCCCCTGTTCGTGGATATTAAAATCAGAAATTTAGTAAATTTTGATAAAAGTTGATTAAATATAAGATTAAAAAGTATTGAATCTCATAAAATGTGTGATTGAAATTGGTTGGCTTTGATTTAAATTAAAATCTGGACACCAAATAGAAGCTAGGGATTTTTTACTTGAAAATATCTATTTTTTCATTACGGTTTCTTTTGGAAATATGCATATAAAGTTGTTTGCTTTTTTCATTACTCTCAAACCAAAACTCAAACTCATTCCTAATTTTTTGCAAATTGCAATACGTATACTGCATTTGGTATTTTTTATTTATTTATTATTTTTTTCATTTTGTAGAAAGTACTTATTTAAGGTTAAAATACTAGAAAGACTTCTTTTGAATAAATAATTGGAAACACAAATATCATTTTAATCATAATCATGTTAATAGGTGTATTCGGTACCCATTGAATAACATCTTCCTTAATAAGTTATTCCAACATTGTATACTTTTATTAGGACGATTCAAAAAGTGATCAATATCCATCACAGTTTTATGGAGTTCGCTAAAAAGATTGTTCCCAATTAATAGGGTGATTATCAATTTAAAGATCTAGAATCGTAAGGTATTTAGTGATGTGAATTTTGATATTGAGAGGGTAAGAATCCATATATCAAGGATTAATCTATGTGTACATAAATGTACACGTAGGAGTTCACATAATGTGAGGGGGGTGTGACCCATGCTACAGTAGCATCAGCCCCACCCCATTTAGTGATGTGAATTTTGATATTGAGAGGGTAAGAACCCATATATCAAAGATTAATCTATGTGTACATCTATGTATACATAGCATCACAATCATGTTATTTGTACAACTTCGTTTACAACTTGATTTACAATCGTAGCATGTACCCCACCGCCCTCACATTATGTGAACCGCTATGTGTACATCTATGTACACATAGCATCACAATCATGTTATTTGTACAACTTCGTTTACAACTTGATTTACAATCTATGGTTGGCAAACATTATATCCATTCATTTGAAAAATTGTTTTTAAAATTAATGGTAAGAATCTTTTCAACACACTAGCTGTCAACCAAGTTGTACAACTAGTTTTATTCCTCGGATATTTTGGGGTGAATGATAGCCTATTTCAGCAAGAGCTGCAGCTTTCGTGCTGATTTGGACACCGTTTTGAAGAGAGATGAATTCTCGCAGTGTGATTAGAGTAAGGTTAAGTGGCTAAAAGAGGGTGACACGAATCGAAATTGTGCTTTCTCCATCAACTAAAGCATACACGAAAGCCTCAAAACAACTATCTTGGCTATGTGGCAGCGAGCTTGCACATGATCCAATCCGGATAAAGGATGGTATTCACTGATGCCAAGAGTAATCGTGTTGTTGATTACAATGTCCTTGTTAATATTGTTCCATCCTTAGTCTCGTCTAAGAATGTTGTGTTAACCAATGTTCCTTTTGATCCGAGAGAGTGTCTTCACACTTCATCCGATCCAAATAGTGATGTGGGATCAGATGAATTAAGTGATAAATTCTTTCTTGTTTTACTTTAGAGGGAGTTCACAAAATCAGACCAAACTCGGCCAAGAAATCGTATGCTTGGAACGTATTTATTGGGATAACGACTATTTAAAATATTTCTTACGAAAACTCCTTAGCTTAGAGATTAGTTATTGTCTAGTAAGGTTCTAGATATGATAATAAAGCAACTCCTTTGACAAAAAAAATTGATATTGTCGAGTCAAAAAAATTGTAATAGCATGTGTAAACTGATACTCAATATATAACGATAGAATATCTCGATGTTATGACATTACAACAATGGAGATAATATGTTGGAGGACATAATGTTGTAGAGGAGGAGAAACTCGTCTCTTATAGTGCTCCAGTACCATGTTTCGTGCAATAAATTTGATATAATTAGATAACTTATGAATTTTGTCGTGTACTTGATCTCCTAGGTCCTATAAAATCATACGAAACTCAATATACTAAACATGCTTCCTAGTTAGTCATTAGTTTCTTTTCCTCTCAATATGGCCTTACCTCTCTTAAATCAAGAAGGTATACAATTATGTAGATATCGGCATTTTTCTAACTTCTCATATTTTAGGCTAATAGATACTGTTGAACGACAAGACACTTTTTCTTTTTCGATCAACGGCTGGCCTCACGTGTAGAATTTTAACGACTTATAATGTTTGACAAACAAAAGCATAGAACCCCTTTTCCTTTTCAAAAACAATATCCATATATACAAAACCCCCCTTATCCATCAGATAAATGTATTATATCACTCACTTTAATTAAAAAAAATGAGAAATTAAAAGATAACATTTAAAAAGTGGAGAGTATTGGCTCTTTTCCTGTGAACCTTGGCATACAATGGTCAGGCAGCATTCAGAGACCAATCAAAATTTTGATACACAATATTAATTGGGCCCCCGTCATTCAAAAGGTGTGTCAAAAGGCCCGCCTTAGTTGCATCCAAGTAATTTATGATCCACTTGGGAATTTCTTTTTCTTGTCCAAAATCTGCACTGTACCTGTAGGACAAAAGATCCGCAAAAGCAAAGTATAAATACTGCTATTCCTATTCATAAACTATTTATATATCTGTCAAACAGAGGCTAAGATTCTGCATTTTGTTAAACCATGACTTTCATAACGATCTTCAACGAAAATCTTGATTTCAATTATAAATAAAAAGTTTCCTCATTAATGACTCACCATTTGATCACACGAGAGAGGTACACGGTCCTCTTGGCAAGATCTATGTGCATTCCATCATCCCTTTGGAAAAACTCCCTTGCAGCATATCTTAATTCTGATGCAACTCCCTGAGCAGTGAAGAATTTCACCACGGGACTTGACCTCGTTGCATTGTAGAGCCCGAAGTGAATTAATAGATTCACTTTTGGAAACGCCAACTGGAAACGATTTGAAAAATGAACAAGTTCAGCTTCAGTTTCATGTACAAGTCCAGAGATCAAAAGGAACGCGTTAAATCCTTACTTTAATTCACAGTATCAGTATAATGCAGCAGAAGATTCGGTTATCAAGGAGAAAGGCAACGATTGAAGTTAATTACCTCTAGGCGCTTGTCTCCACCACTAAAAGGTTTTGTTAATGAGAAAGGTGCTCTTTTATTGCTTCTAAGAATCCCATTTCTTATTGCGCTCATGGAATAGGGATAGCCCCCAACCACATACATGAAATCATCAAAGAAAGCCCTCCTATCGATCATGCCTCCAGGATGACCAATTCTAATGACCGCGTGAATAGCCATGGCGTTATGCAGGTTTAAGAAGAATGCCAACTTCTCATCCACTGAAAGTGTCGATATATTCATTCTCTGGAGATCCTGCACTAAACTTATGTATCTGGATTCATAAAGAAATGAAGACAGACGTTAGCCAACTACACTTGCATTTATAATCAGTCAGTACAGAAAAAAGTTACATATCATTTAGGTAGCCAGTTTTATATTGCTAATGCATGACAACGCCTTAACCCAAACCTATAATCAGAGTCTATTCAAACTTGACAAACAACGAACGACGCAAGTATGACTGTAATGGAAGTAAATAAGCATCACACAAGCTAAAGTAGCTAATCAAGAGGTCCAATAGATATGTGAAAAAGGTTAATATGAACTTTTCTTATCTGTAAATTTTCATTGTTGCAAGAATAACTTTTCGATAAGAAAAGAAAACAGACATGAACTAAAACGGATGTCATGAAGCTGAAAGAGCTTTGTTTTGATCCTGAACAATCCGACATATCAAGACCAATCTCCAGAAGAAAGACGTGTAAATGATAACTGAAACGAAAAGGAGAGAGGATTTAGGCTCAACAAGACTGATCTAACTCAAAGCATAGTCCTGTTAAGAGCATAAAGCTAAGGATCTACAAGTTTCCTCATTGCAATTTAATATATCAATTTCAATCAGCACGTCATACTCGTATATCAGACTATGGTAGCATGCACAAAGGATCATTTCAAATGCAACTAATGCACAGGTTATACTACCTCCTTAATTCTTCACTATTTCTGATGCCCACATAATCAAGTTGGTGTCTGTCATCAGAAGCATAGGACTCAAGTATGGCGGACATTATTCGGGCTAGCCTCTGGCTTACAGTAGCAGCGCTCTTGGGCTCAATGTCATTTACTGATCCTCTGAAATTATAGCATTTGGGAATGAAGGGCTCGTGCTCAAGCAATCGGTAGGAGTGGTTCCCATCCTCAAATTCATTTTCACTGCAATTAATACATCATATCTGTAAGACCGAAGTAGGTTCAAACTTGAAAGCTATAAGTTCCCATTATCTTGTTCTTACCCAAAAACATGATGAATGAAATGCTTTCTTGCCAGCTGCTTCCCAATCTCAATGGCCTACATATGTATGAGTTGTGAGACAAAATATGAAAGTCATTAATCGGTGAAGAATTGTAGACAAAACAAAAGAGTTGCATGTTTGGCTTAACCATCAAGTTTTTAATCATACAAATGAATAGAGAGAGTGGGTTTTGAATTTCTTCGGTTGTTTTTTAGGCCAAAAGTAGTTGTGTTGCTAATGAGTGATCTATTATGAGTGTACAAATACAACAGTTACGATGATGACAGAATAAAAAGAATTGCAGAAAAATAAATCCTGACAAAAGAGGCAATCCAACTTGTAAACACAAAGTAAGATAAAGCCCCGTTTGACAAAGATTTTTTGAGATTATAAATTGCTCAAACGTCATTTTTAAAACACACATTTCATTGGATCCACAATTTCTATCCACTTTTTTACGAATCCATCGACTTATAATCTCAAAAAGATTTATCAAACGGGTCAAAGGGAGTTCAAACAATGTAAAAGTAATTGTTTGAAAAATAAGTTTTTTTGTACGAACAGTTATTTCACTTTTCTGGTAGCAAACGTGTATTGCGGAAAAAATTACTTAACAAGTAACTCTTAAACTTAACCAAACATGCAAGAGACCTGAGATCTAAGACGGATTGGCCTGGGTTTACTTTTCTTTCAACAAAACTGTGCTGCAACAGAAGTTACTAACAACTTCCCTAAAAGAAATTTTTTACTTTTAAACTAGGTCAGTTCTCCAATTCGAAGTTTTTTTCCTGAAAGTTTCAACCTTGTCGACTATGACAACAGTCGCGAATATAAAGGGACTCGTGACTATGGTAAGGCCTCGAAGACCATGGACCCCAGATAGGTTGGCCTCAGCACAACCCCTGAGATCATACTTATTTGTCCTGTCAAATAAAGAGGTTTAACGTGAAATGTGGCGCCTATTTGGTAAATTTTTTTTTAAAGTCGTTTTAAATCATACATTATCTCAATAAAATAATTTTACATGCGGATTAATATCTTTTCCTATTTTTTAATTACACATTCTTAAAAAAATATCATTTTTCACGAAATCTATTCTCAAAAAATCTAAATCAAACGAACCCGTAGTGTATTTGCATGGGCAGGTCAATGGAGCCAACAACTATCTTTATCTTTCGAGAACAACAAAAAATGGAGAAACCAAAAATTAAAACAGGAGCTCAAAGAGCTAAGCTCGCTACAATCCGCCTCTCTAGATGAGTCGAAACACTCGACACCTAAGCGATGCTCAATTTTACACCTCTAATGGCAAATTCATCGAAAAATGGGATTAAAAAAGAAAGATTGGTGTAATGTGAGCAGAGTCTCGTGTTCATTTTTTCCGAATTCAACAAATTAAACGCTTAAAATATTTGTTTAGTACTCTTGATACAGTACAAGCCTCAAGTAAATTTCTAATATTTTTATTTACTAAGTTATTTTATTATTTGTTAGGTAGGAAAACTGGGACCAAAGGTACAGTTTTCATTATGCTATTCATATAATCCGCCGCAAGTGACGATGGTTTGGATGCTTTGCTTTTCTCGAATAAACAATAATTTGAGAGATTACGCTTGATTGTTAAGTATACGTTATAATTAAAATAAGAATTAATGAATATTAGGACCCTGTTTGTTTTGGATTAAAATCAAATTTTAATTTAAATCAAAGTCAAACTATCAATATTAACCACATTTTTAATGAGTCTCATAACTTTTCAATCACATTTCAAAAACTTCTGTCACAATTTATTAAAAATCTAATTTTAATTCCCACCAAACACCACGTAAATCACATGAGAAATGCTATAGGGACAGGATAAGTGACACGAAAAAATACACACACTTGACATTTTCTCATTAGCAGTTAAAAGAAAACATTGTCAATCAAAAACTGCCGTTTCACTCCCTGGAAAATGACCCGGTCATTGACCCCGTTTGTTTAGCTTTTTTGAAATCACATTCTTCGTTTTCGTTGATACATCAACTTGTATTCATTCCAACACATCGATTGACGTAGAAAAATTGCACCAACACTGCAGCGAAGAAAAAGGCTTAAAGCCCTTCCTTTGTTCACATCACCCACGTTTGACGCGACAACAGTGGGACCACTCAACTAACTTAAAACAACCCTTACTTTTCCAAACAAAAAACTGACGTCGCCCAAAAATATTTTCCTCAAATCAGACCTTGTCTCAATTCTATTGCCTCTACGATAGTCAAATGATAGTAAGATAAAGAGCATAGTAACAATTTTTAATGGCTAATCGAGCCTTGTTTAATTAACGAACCTTTAACTCCGATTATGTAAAGCTTAAACTCTTCGACAACGTGCAAATTAGAAAGAAAAAAAATAAGGACGAGGAAAAGAAAACATAGAAAGTAGGAAAATTTGGTCATAAACAAATCTTAATTGGACCGTGCGTTTTGAGAACATAACTCAACATGATTACTCCTACTACGTACTAAACAAAATATACGAGTGTTGATAACGAGGAAAAGCCAGCCAGCCATCATATAGTGATCCCTCCCGCATGTGGTTGTAATTATTGATGTTGGCTCCTAATACACATTTCTCCATTAAAATGTTTCCTTAATTACTATTTTGTAATTCAAACTTCAGTGTTAATGCAATTTTATTATTAGTAATCCACTGGACAACCTAATAGTAAATAGGGCTGGAATTTTCGGATATTTAATAAATGGAACCGTCGGGTTCAAATATAATTATGGAACCATTCACTTCGGTTCCGTACCATAATTAAATTTTATAACAGATTTCTAATGGTCAACGACCGGTGGTCGTGATTGGAGGTCGCGACTTCTATTGGCAGTTGGAGAGGGGAAGTTGGACTTGGTGGCTTCGATTTGGGCATGTAGATATGGGTTTTCAATTTATCAAATGATTTGAGGTCGTGACTCAGTGGTTACCAAATGAAAGTGTGAAATTGGAAAGGGAATGATAAAAACTTAAAAAAGACCTAGATCTTGAACGAAGAATGAAATTGATAATTGGACCAAAAAATTAAATTTAGAAATTGGGTTGGGTTGGACTAGTTAGGCATGGACTTTGTTTGAGAGTTAGAACATTAATTACTAAATTAGTTAATTTGCTAATTTGTTTAGAAAAAAAAAATTAATTAATTCAATATAAAAAATTAAAAAAATTATTTAAATTCGGTTCTGAGTCTAGAAGAGAACCAAATCAGTCGGTTCTCGATTCAGATACCCTTTCGAGTATTTAATTTATGAAAAATCGCTTGATTCAGTTCAATTCGGTTCGGTCCGATTTGGTTCGGGTGTTTTGTCCAACCCTAATAGTAAACATCTCATTCGTCACACAACAATATTAATTAATTAATTAATTGTTTTTCAATTAGTTAATCAATAAACCGATTTGGTCAGCGCCTCCCAACTGTCCAGATTTCCAAATAACAGAACATAATCTAATCCCATATTTTAATTTTTAATTAAAACAAAAGAGAGGTACTTACTGGTCCACACATCATGCTCCTTCAAAACGCGTTTATTTGACTACTGTTATTGATGGTCCCAAACTTATTAATTAATTATGAAAAAGCAGCTTTCCTCGTTTTTACTTTTTACAACTCCCACCCCCAAATATATTAGATAGATTAGATTAATTATGGCACTTCAACTCCCTCTCTCGTTCTTTAAATAAAATAATTCTCTTTCTACTTCTTGAGAGGAATAATACTATTCATCACATCATCAATGATAGATTCTTATAATGATGAATAGTAATATTCATTTTTCTTATAGTAATCTTTTAAATTAAATTCAACAATTAATGGTAACCATATATTTCATGAAATTCACATATTTTCAATCACATATTTAATCATTTTTTATCAAAAATTACTAAAAATCTGATTTCTATTCCCACTAAACAAGCGCTTAATAACTAATAGTTTGAATTCTTAAAAATGCGATTTATTTTGGGGCACTCGGTTCTAGCAAAGATGACGATTCAACTCATTATGTGAGTAATGAATAAAATGTAGAAGAGTTGCCTGATGGCTGATTCATCGATCATTACTTCATACTCATCAGTAGAATGATGTTTAACTACCTTCTATGAGTTGATAGCATTGCACTAACGGACCCCACGCACGAATTTCAAAGATTCGAGATCACTACTTCAACATTAAACGTTGCTTGATTACTCTATCGACCATCATGAACATAGTAACCTATAGAAGCGTAACAGAAATAGTAAAGAAAATAGACCTCACATGCGGATATCGGTGTCCTAGATAATTATTTCAACACTACTAATAGCTATTTGGTCCCTATTTGGTTTAGTTAAAAAAAATGGATAAAATTTTAAATTGAAGTCAAAAATTAATTTTAATCCCACGGGCCACAACTTTTTTAAAAATTACTAAAAAAATGATTTTTTTAAAAAACAAACAAGGGCTTGATTTCACTTCTAACTATCTTGGACATAGTAGAGGCAAAAAAAACCGTAATAAAGAAATTTAATCATCGAATGATAGATTTAATAATTTAAAAAAGGAAGAAGAATCACAAAAATGGAGTGAAAGTATAGAGGCATACCTTCTTCCTGCCGCAGTCCAAGTGGTTTATTAGAACCTCCACAAGATCAGCTCCGTTGAAGCAATTCCTGATAATCTTCATCTTCATCAGACGATCCTGAATGGGCAGTCTCTGCCGCAAAACCCTAACAATCACCACCATCTCATCTAAACTCTCCTCCTCCTCTGGATCGTCGAAGCCATAGACTGGTGGTGCCGGTGCATCATCGGGACACTTACTCCCCAGCATTTCCTCCATTTTCTTCTCCAACATCCCACCATTCCTCAAAGAATTCAATACAACCAATCCTCCGATTAGCTTTTCGTTGAAAAATATCTGTGGCACTGTTCCACTGCCTGTCCTTTCAATTAACTCCTTCTCTCTTGTTGGATACACGTCAATATTGATCTCCACAAAAATCAGGTTCTTTTCGCGCAAAAATGATCTCACTGCAGTACAGTCCCTACAATTCGATCGCGAGAAAAAGCTAATTCTTCCTTTCAGCACTATTTTACCTGATTCTTTCAGTGATTTGATCACTTTCAGACCTGAAAGATTGAATTCCGTAACATGTGACGCGGGCTTCACTATAGCCGCCTCCTCGTCTCCATCGTCGTTTCTTCCTTCTCTCAACGACGACCATCGCCTTGTTATGGCAGCGGAAAAGGTATTACTCTTGTCGCGAATAAATTTCCCGATCGCCGGCATCTCAAAATTATCCGGCACCGAAACTGACCTTTCCATCTTCGGCGATAGGATGTTATTAACCCCCGGTGGCGCTTCTGGCTTGGGCAGCTGAGAATGAGGCTGTTGTATCATTTCTTGTATTGCTTTTTCTGAATATACTATCATCTCACTGGAACGGCCATTGACTTCCTTCTCCCCTTCTCCATTAGAATCGGAATTTGCATATCTTTTAGAATCCGTTTTCCCTTCATTCTCGGGGGAATTAATTTCTCCCCCTTCTTCTTCAATTGCACGGGGTTGTTCAGAGGTGCCATTTTCTCCTCCTCCACATGATAATTCCATTTGGGATGAATAAATGAAATTGACAGAGAAAGAGAGAGGAGCGTAGGAATCGTAGCCTCGTAGGGGCGGTTATATTGAAGAAGCCTTGGAGGAAATATATGTATGACAACTTAACAATGGCTAATGGTGATTAAGAAAACAATTAAAGATAATAAAAAAATGGGAAATATAGAATAGGTCAAAAGCGGCCAAGTGACAATCACGTGTCATGCCGTCCCACTAATTAAATCTGGTTTAATTTCGTTAAGACCAAGTGTTAATCGAAAAGGTCATTTATGTCTTGTGCATAATGTAATTTGAACTACCATATTTCCATGAATGGATCAAGTCTTACTCCACTTCAATTCACTTAAAAGTAACCTTGATAATCTAGAGGTGTACAATTCCTCCAAAAAAAAAAAAAAAAAATCCCTCGATGAACACAAATATTACCGTAAAAGTAGAGTAGGGATTTAGGTAAATATCTGATGTGTCTCTTAGTCGATGAAGTCATTTTCGTTCCGTAAACGGTCAATAGAGTAGGCGAAATTTTTTTCTTTTCTTTTACACGGGCGACAGCCCCCTCACAAAGGGGGTGGAGCCCACAATTTTAAAATCCACAGGCCCCACTCCCTATGTGAGGGGGCTGTCAAGGTGTATGTACACTAAGTTGTACATTAAGCATTATTCTAAATTATTAATTGAACTTTACAATGTTTTCAACTTGGAATTTCGAGCTTCTTTGATCATGGAACAAACACTTGAAATTGAAGACTAAAATTTCACCAAAAGCTTTAGTAAATGAAAATTAACAGATTTTTTTTTTTTTACAAAGTCCTTTTGGGAAATCAAGTTTAACATCTTTAATCAAAACAATATCTAAAATTTGTAAAGTATTGGAAGTGTAAGTTAATTAATCAGATTTTTTTTTTCTATCGTTAGTCGCATCTAAAGCAAAAGTACCATATGTGACTAGAAACGTTTGCTGTACTAAAATTTCCACATATTTTATTGTCAAGTAGAAAAATCACAATTTCCATTGAAAACCCCCAAATCAAAACTACGTGTAGCAGTTTTTTGGTACTCATCTTAACCAAAACTTAATACAAGTAAACAAAGTACCAATTCAACAAGATTTCCCAAGTAACTTCGCGAACAAATTCACAGGACAACACCTGTATGATGCCTTTTTTGTGTTTTTGATTAAGGATAATGAAAAAGAGGAAATTACACCTAAGCCTGGTTTTAGAATTCCATTTTCATAAATCTTGACTTAAGTTTCATATTGCAAAAATCAGGTTTTAATTAAAAATTTAAAAACATTTTTTTATTTTTATATCTATATTAACTATAAATTAATTTATATATTCCCTACCCCAACCGAACCCTAAATTCAATTCACAAATCTCATCTCCTCTTCTCCGGTCCCTCTGATCTACGCCGGCGCCGGCGTCGGCGGCGGCTGCTCTTCTCTCCCTCCTTTCCCCCTCTCACCTTCACTCTTCTCTCGTCTCTTTCCCTAGGGTTTCGCAAATCCAGTCGTCTCTTTCCCTCTACCTCACCGTTGTTCTCTCTCATTTGGATCCGGCGAAATAGCAGGCGCATCCGGTCGGTGACGACGCCCTACGCGTTCCATATTTTAATATTCCAACGACAACATGAGGTGGATGCAGGGACCGATTTACGCATAACGGACGAGAAATCAAAACACGACATCGGAGAAGACGACGAATAGATTTTCTTTGATGGTTTGATTGGAAATATCACGGTCAGATCTGTTGGCCAGTGGGTGGTTCCGACTGGTATGGTGGCCGGAAGTGGAGTGGGCCGAGTCCTTCCTAGACAGATTCCAGAATTTGGATTTTGTGGAAATATCACTCATCAGATATGTTGGGTGTGTTGGTGGTTTCCAAAATTCCACAGATCTGTTGTTGTTGGCGGTTTGGGATGATCGGTCGTAATCTCATCAGATCTGTTGGGTGTGTTGGTGGTTTCCAAAATTCCACAGATCTGTTGTTGTTGGCGGTTTGGGATGATCGGTGGTGGTTTGGGTGGTTTGTGCGCGGCGGTGGTGATTG